GGGCACCAGACTCATTGGGACTTCAGGGTAACCCGTTTCGCACGGATTTCGGCAAGGGAACGGCGGCTGCTGAATTTCTTGCTGAACCGCCTTTCTTGAACCTCGGAGCGGCGCTCGATGGTGTGCCGGGTGAGTTTCTGGCAAACATCGTTTGCTGCTGTGGCATCGCTACGGGCTCGGTATTGAACTTGTGCTGATATCGAGAAGAACAGGAGCCCCCTTGGAGAAGCACGAGTCCTACATACACGCCGGAGCCTCTGTCACTGCCCCGACAAGATGCAAATGTCCATGAATTGGTCGAGAGAGGAAGGACGAAGACGAGGACGTCATCCAGCAAATCAGTTCGTTGGATCACTTCTGCCGATCGAACGACAGACCCAGCAGAAGACGTCGACGAAGATTGTGGTCAGTGGAGTGATGGATCAACCTGCCACTCTTTCACAGCGCTGGATGGTTATGGTGGCCCGCTACCGCCACTTCGACCACCTTCCGCCACTAGATGCAAGCCCAGGGCACCCGTGAGAAAAAGCTCCATACAAGCCTGGCTATCAGCCTTGCAAGAAGAGGACAAGTGGGCTGCTGGACCGTCCTCCAAGAAGCCACAAAAGAAAATGCCGCCGCCCGAAATCCCCAGGTCTTCGCCTCCAAAGCACAAACCTGAGCAACTTCGAGACTTGCGCGTCGGCATTATTGGAGCGGGTTTCACTGGACTCCTGCTCGCCCATGGCCTGCGCCGGCACGGGGGCGTCGAGGTTGACATTTAGGACGAGCGACCTCCCCCTGAGGAATGGCAGCGCTCGGTGGTTCACGACTGGTCCGTGTCAGTGCCCGACCGTAAAGCGCTCCTCTCGAATATCGAGAGATTGCTTCCTTTAAACATTTACCATGCAGTCATGGAGGCCTGCAGTGTTGCGCCCACGCTTGCTGGGGTGCTGAAACACCAGCCTATTCCATGCCTCGACGCCGAAACTGGCGATACGCTCTTTCACGCCGAGGTGCCAGACATTTGTCGCTACCGCGGTTTGCGTCTGCTCAAAGCCCTGAGGGGACATTTATCAGTGCAGTGGAATACATCGCTGGTCAGTCTTCAGCCCAGCAAGGATAGTAAAGAGGTACACCTCATCTTTGAGCCTGGCCATCTCTGTCACAAGGTTGACATTGTCGTTGGTGCCGACGGAGCCGATTCCATGGTTCGTCGGTTTCTTGTCGAGAAGTTTCAGCACGTAGACCCCGAGCCGGTGCTTACTCCATACGTTGAGGAGATTGCCCTGATGATACGGACCAAGAGCAAGGACGGCACCGACTTGGTCCAAAAGCGTCACCCAATTCAGACCATGGCGTCGGACAAGGAAGGACTGACAACCATTGCCGTACACCAGTGGCAAGTTGAGCCGGAGGAGAGGGCACACGAGCTGATCCAGTTGAGTCGAATCTCGGTGCCGCCAGGCGATGACGGGATGGGAGACTTGGACCTTACTGGGAACGAGGCTCGCCGGTACATGGCACAGTCGATCTGCAAAACAGCTCTGCAGGACTTGGAGCCTTGGAAGACATACATTGAGGCGCTGCGTGAACCGCATGCTCAGGGGCGCTTCACCGTCAGGAGGGTGCGGGGCTGGATCCCCGTCGACTTTGACAACCTCGGCGGGCTGGCCACTCTAGCAGGTGATGCAGCGCATCTCATGCTTCCATGTGAGTTCGCGATCCTTTTGAGACGGCGAAAGAAAAACTGGCTGACAAAGATGCCAACAGTCGGCGGACGCGGCCTGCTCAATTCTACGGTAGACGCCAATGCTCTGTGCTGGGCCATCACGACGGTGCCACGACCAGGCGCCACGCCCACTGCTAAACGGCTAGCCAAGCAGGAAGAGAGTCTGGACGACTATGGCGAAGGCATGCGGCAGAGAGCTGGCGTTCAGGTCCGCAAGACGTTGCAAGAGGCGGAGAAGTCGATCAGCCTAGTAGCGGTTCGAGCAGTCCTGAGAGAGGATTCCAACAGGACTCCTGTCTGTATTTACCAGTGACGCGGTGTTGGTTGGTGGTTCAGTTTGCGAGTGTTGATGTAGCGTTGCAAGAAGGGTTAGGATGGAAGCGGTATCCATAGCAATATGATGCAGAGCGTAGCGAATGTCATTGATAGGAGTGTGCATGATGCTCAGGGTGAGTGTAAGGAGGAGTTCCTGGCGATGAGGTGACCTCTGGAGGTAAGGTACCCAGCAAACCTGGTGGGTAGGTACCTAGGCACCTGGTACTGTACTTGTAGGTACCTACCTCTAGGTAGCGAGCAACGTGTGGCTGCAAACAGCCACCAGCCACCCCAAAATGTACCCCGGTCGGTCCCTCTTCTCTTCCCCTTCGCCACAGCGTCAGGCCTGGTGGATGGTGCTCCTGCTCCCCATGCGCCTGCCGTCGATCAACGTCGCGCTACCGACCCGCCGTCGTCTCTATACTTGGGTGGGAGCCAATGTCGACTCTGAACCATCAACATCAATCATCCAGCCAGCATCAATCGAACGCGTCTCCATCTACGGCCTACGTACAGATGGCCAGGCTCATCGCCACAACCCCATCACTTCCATCCTGAGCCGACATATACCACACACACCTCCAACACACACCATTCACCCGCGATCATGCCGCCCGCCCCCAGCCAAAAGGGCACCGGCAAGAAGAGCGGCGCGGGCGCCATCCGCCAGCGCAGCCGCAACACGACCCCGAGCTCCCTGCCTCCCGCCGCGGGGGGAGTAGGAGGAGGCACAGGAGGCGCTGGCGGAGGGGCGACAGGCACGGGCGCCAACCTGCCGCCCATCGAGGCCATCGACGCCGAGTACCTCGCCCTGCGCGTCGAGCAGTTCCGTAACATCACCTACGATGACCTCGTCGACCCGGGCGCCCCCGGCAGCCCCGTCCCCGACGCCAAGAGCGTCGACGGCCTCATCGCCCGCCTGACGCGCCTGCAGGAGGTCATTGACCGCCGCACCAACTTTTGCGACAAGGCCATGCGCGATCTGTCGGTCCAGAGGAAGCACCATGTCGACGAGGTCGTCGAGAAGGAGGACGTGCGGACTGAGGACGACCGCAAGAGGTCCAATAAGAAGAAGCGCAAGGCGGCGGATAGTCTGGCGCCGGGCGACACGAACCACAAGGGTATGTTTGAACTGTTTCTGAGCTTCAACATGGCGACTTGCCTGATGGCTGTTGTTCACTTTTCCCTGCCTTCCCCATGCAGTCCCTTGGCATCGGATGTCTCTTTGCAAACCCACATCTGACCCAAATCGACCCTACAGAGCGATCCTCGCCTCTACGCGGCGACTCGACGAAACCCAGAAAACTCTCCAGAGACTCGATCAGCTCGTCGCTTTCCCCCGTCGAGCCTGGCTCGCCATCCGCCATGGACGTCGATGATAAGAAGAAGAGCAAGAAGAAGAAGGACGAAAAGGAGAAGAAGGAAGACGAGGCCGTCGAGGACGAAGAGGAGGAGGAGGAATCGAGCTCCGAGGACGAGGGAGCCCCACCGCGCCGTGATCTGCCCGCCGCGCACACCTTTGGCGACGACCCCTCCACATTCCCCGACCCGACAGTATATGAGATTCGAGAAGCGAAACCGGCCATCATGTCGGAAGACGAGCTGAAAGAGATTTACTCAGTCGCCGTATACCCCAAGCATGACCTCGCCGAGCTGGAGCTCATTGCCGGCGACCCCCCAGATAAGGACTTCAGCAACGCCAAGCCGTCGAACCAGATCAGTTTTTCCACCTTCAGCGCGTACATTGAACCATACTTTCGCCCCTTCACCGAGGAAGACCTCGGCTTTCTGCGCGAACGCGGCGACCGCGTGGCGCCCTTCCACATGCCCAAACGCGGCAAGCGACACTACACGGAGATCTGGGCCGAAGAAGACGGCGCCATGCAGGTGGACTCGCCATCGAAGCGGGAAAAGCTGGCGCCCAACGTGCCACGTGGGACCATCGACGTCATGGACGACGAAGTCGGTGAGACAGACAAGCTGTCTGTCGGCCCGCTCCTCTCCCGCCTCGTGAGCATCATGCGGCCCGAGTCGCGTCCGCCCACCGACGAGGACAAGCCCAATGTCAACGGCACGACCAACGGCGACGTGAGCATGGCCGGCAGCACCAACGGCGAGAACGGCGACCTCAGCATGAGCTTTGGCGGCGGCGGCGGCGAGGACAACAAGCCGCTGACAATGCCACCGGCAACGTTCATGGCGGAGTCCAACTCGGAGTCGTGGAAAAAGGCGACGCACCCCAAGCTCGACTACGCGCAGGTCGACGAGCGCATCAAGCAGGAGCTCAAGCACATGGGTTTCCTCCCGCACGAGGGCCCCATCGACGCCGAGTACGACGGCGCCTTTGACGACGAGGTCGCCGCCCGGCTGCGCCTCCTCCAGGACCGCCTCCGCAGCCAGATGCTCATCAACGGCGCGCGCAAGGCCCGCCTCACCGAGCTCGTCAAGGAGCGCATGGCGCACCAGGAGTACCAGACCATCCTCGAGGACCTCGACTCGCAGGTCCAGGCCGCCTACCTCAAGCGCACCCGCACCATGGGCAAGAGCAAAAAGGCCAAGCGGCCCGCCGGCAACAGCGCCGCCGCTGCCGCCGCCGCCGCCGGCATGGCCCGCCCCGGCATCGGCGACGTCACCAAGATGCTCATGGAGCGCCGCGCCCGCTGGATCGGCACCATTGGCTCCGTCTTTGAGGACGAGAACCTCGGCAAGGTCCCGCGCGTCGAGAAGCCGGGCAGCTCCATCTTTAAGCCTGCCGAGATGGCGCAGCTGCTCAAGCGCGAGAAGGAGCAGTGGGATGAGGAGGTTGAGGAGGAGTAGGGAGGGAGCCCGTTGATCGAGCTCGACCGCGATGAGACTATCCTGCTTCTTCTTTTCCTTCAGACTCGATCTCTGGGTGTGCGGGATAATTTGGGCTGCCGGTTCTGCAGCTACGTACGTATGTTGATACGTACATGATGATTCTATCAAGACAAAGGGGGACACAGCATTGAGGGAGGACCCGGTTCTGGCAGGCGCGGCGTTGCGGATTCACAAACACACACATGTGTCAGGGAAAGTTGGAACATGACCCTTTGCACATCCATTCTATGCTTAATTGTCTTGAGGCGTTGGCGGCTCCAGTTGGGCTAATTAGACATTTTCACAAAAAGATTTGACCCAAAAACATCCCGGCAACATGTCACGTTGTGCTCCTTTTCGTTCTGCCCACGTTCAGTACACGTAAAACTGCTGCGTCAGCGGCAACCTCTCGGCCGGCTCGGCCTCGCAGACGACACCGTCGGCCTCGACGACGTACTGCTCCGGGTCTACGCGCATCCGCGGCATCGAGTCGTTGTAGCGCATGTCCTTTTTGCCAATGTTGCGGCAGTTACGTACGGCCTCGACGCGGCTGCGCAGGCCATACGATGCGATGGCCCCCGACTCAATGGACGAGGCTGAGACGAAGAGGACGGACGTGTCGGGGACCAGCGGCGCGAACATGGGGCGGCCGATGATGGGTTGGATGGTTGGAATGGAAGCATTGGGGTCGCCCTACATTGGGTCAGAACAGGAACATTGCACGAGATGGGAGGATATGGGTAAAAAAAAAGGAAAGAAAAAAAAGGCATACCATTTGCGCCCATGCTATCAGCCCGCTCTTGATAACAAGGCTCGGCTTGGTTCCGAACCACGCGGGATCCCAGACGACAAGATCGGCCAGCTTGCCAACCTCTACGCTGCCGATGAGGTGACTGAAGCCCTGGGCGATGGCTGGGTTGACAGTATACTTGCTGACGTATCGCTTGACGCGGAAGTTGTCTGCGTCGGAGCCCTCGTCCTCGGGCAGGGTGCCGCGTTGGTCCTTATTCTTATGCGCCGTGTTCCAGGTGCGCAAGATAACCTCGCCGCAGCGGCCCATGGCCTGGGAATCGGAGCTCATCATGCTGATGGCGCCGAGGTCGTGGAGGACATCTTCGGCAGCAATGGTCTCGGCGCGGATACGAGACTCGGCAAATGCGACGTCCTCGGGAATGTTCTTCGAGAGATGGTGACAGACCATGAGCATGTCGAGGTGCTCATCAAGCGTGTTGCGAGTGTAGGGGCGCGTGGGGTTGGTAGAGGAAGGCAGGACATTGGGGTGCTCGACGACGGAGATAATGTCTGGCGCATGACCGCCGCCTGCACCTTCGGTGTGATATGTGTGAATGGTCCGGTTCTTGAAGGCGCCAATGGTGGACTCAACGAAACCAGACTCGTTCAGCGTATCCGTATGAATGAGGCACTGCACATCGAGTTCATCGCAAACCGACAGGCAGGTATCGATTGCTGCAGGCGTGGAACCCCAATCTTCGTGTAGTTTGAGTCCACAGGCGCCGGCGTTGACTTGATCGCGGAGACCCTCTGGTGCGCTATCATTTCCTTTGCCGGTGATACCAATGTTCAGGGGAAGGTTATCGCATGCCTGTAGCATTTGGCGCATATAGTGCTTCCCAGGCGTGCATGTCGTTGCGCTCGTGCCAGCGCTGAGAAGGTCCGTGTCAGATGCAAGTGCTCAGGGGCTCAGAGGGGGTTCAAACAAAAGCTTACCTGGGGCCAACTCCACCACCCAACATGGTTGTCACACCAGATGCAATCGCTTCCGATGTCTGCTGCGGGCAGATGAAGTGAATGTGCGTATCGATACCGCCTGCTGTGATGATCTTGTTCTCTCCAGCGACGACATCTGTGCAGCTGCCGACCACCATGTTCGGCGTCACGCCGTCCATGACATCTGGGTTGCCCGCCTTGCCAATACCCACGATCATGCCGTGCTTGACGCCGATGTCAGCCTTGTAAATGCCGCTCCAGTCGACAATGAGCGCATTGGTCACAACCATATCGAGCGATTCCGAGTCTGGGCGGCCTGTAGCCTGCCCCATGCCCTCACGCAGCGTCTTGCCGCCACCAAACTTGCACTCGTCTCCATAGACTGTGAAGTCCTGCTCAACCTTGATCCAAAGATTAGTGCTTCCCAGTCTCAGCCTGTCTCCCGTCGTCGGCCCAAACATGGTCGCATAAGCCACCCTGTTCATCTCAAAGGCGCTGATATGGCCCATGTCACCCACTGGCTCGGGCTGGTGCGCAAAGCCTGCCTGTTGCAACTTTTCTACTATCTCACCGGCGCGCCAGAGTTCCACTCCGCCAGTGGCCAGTCCGTTGCCTCCACGAATTACCCGGTTGCCCCCAATCTCAACAAGCGTGACGGTCTTCATGTCACCCGGCTCAAAGCGCACCGATGTACCAGCGGGTATGGCAAGGCGGAAGCCGTAGGCTCTCGCTCGGTCAAATTCGAGTTGTGGATTTGTCTCGATGAAGTGGTAGTGGCTTCCCACCTGTATGGGGCGGTCACCCTTGCTCGTGACGCGCAGCGTGATGTGCTTGCGGTTGGCGTTGAGGGTGACCTTGACGTCCTTGACAGCAACAAGAGCGCCAGGCTGCGCCGTCGGCTCGAACTCGGCAGGCTCCGGTAGAGGGAAATCATCGTTAGAGGGCATGCGCGGTACATAGCCATACAGGGCGCGGGCGAGATTCCCGTCATCCGTGGCGATGGGGTTATGGACCGTAACAAGGTAGGTACCTGAGGGGAAGGTGCCTTCTACCTGGATCTCGTGAAGTGTACTGCAGACAGAAGGCTGAACGTGGCGACGCCCAAGCATGGTCGAACCGAGACCCATGAGGTCTGAGACGGTGTGGTTGCCATCACGGATGAGTTCTTGCAAGTTGCTCGTGATGAGGGCCTGGGGTCGATGTTAGTGCCCGGGCTCTTCTTGCAAACCCTCGATAAGGGCGAAAGAGGCTTCCTAGCTACCGTTGCTTCAGCGTGGTTGAGCTTCACGCCTCTGGCAAGCCGTTTCTGCGCCAGGAAGCCCAGCTGAGAAATGACGAGCTTATCAAGCTGTGGCCAAGGATGCAGACGTTAGCAAGAAGCACTGGAGGCAAGCAGTAGTGGGGGATCGTGTGCTCACGGATGAGCTGGCGAGCCTTGAAAGACGAGACGGACCTCTTTCGGCACGAGATGCATCTTGGGCAGGACTGCGCGGACAGGTCGGCTGCTGGCGCGGAGGTTGATCTCATGGGATTTGGAAGTTGGACGATGAAGAATGAGACGAGCCAAAAGCGCATCTCATCCGATGGCAGGAAGAAACGCCGCAACTGGTGTTAGCAGCCCACAGTGCGGGGCGTGACTGCCCAGGCGTTCGATAAGGAACCCCAAGTACCTTGCCTAGGCACATTAGGTACCCAAGGTACCTTACACATGGCATCCGCCGCCTGCCGATGCTCCACTGCCGCCGCCGGCCTGTCTGCCCATCAAGCAGTACCTACCTACCCTGACCCGAGTGTCGTGGGAGATCATCACCTGGACACTGGCGTCCACCAGAATATACGGACTAAAAGACTACGTATCCTCCGGACATTGCCACAACACATCACGTCAATAGAACGAAGGACCAAGCCTTGAGCATATCATATCTTCGTCATGGTCTCCTACAACCCCCGACCCATAGTGTTGACGTACGTACACGTGGAATTCCAAAGGCTTCGTAGGACGCACTTGATCGCATGCCGACCAGCAACCATCCAACCGTCCCTCCCATCCCAACCGCCCTGCACGCCCCGGCCTGGTGCTTTTCGAGACCTGTTCCTGAGAACCCCTTGCACGCCGGCCAGCTAAATAAGAGAACAACCAAACAGAAAGACAAGTTGCCGCGACACGCTCTCCTCGCCTCAATGAACCCTGACGACTGGGTTCCAGCCGGAGGCAAAGCAGACACAGAGCAGGACCCTCATCGGGAAAAGATGACGAGGCGCGGCAAACGAGGTATCATCTTCCGAACCCGCAGAGTAAAGAGAAACCCATATTAACAGAAACGCAGGAAGCCACATAACAGACAAAAGAAGAAAGCCTGGCGAGATCAGTTCTTAGCCTTCTTGCCTCGGCTCTTCTTCGTCGCCGTGGGCTCGTCCTTGGTCTCTGTGTCAACGGCCTTGCTCACACGACGCCTCTTCTTATCGGCAGGCGTGGCAGCAGCAGGCGTGGACTTGGGCTCGACGTCAGCGGCATCCGACTTGCGCTTGCGGCTGGCAGCCTTCTTCGGCGTCTTGGAAGGCGCAGGCGTCTCCTCCTCCGAGGCCTCTTCCTCAGACGCCTGGGCCACAGGGGCAGCCTGCTGGAGCTGCTGGGCAATGGCGTCTTGGTCATCGGCAACAGCCTCGCCGTCAACGTGAGGCAGAGGGATGTCGTTGTTGTCCGCGTAGACCAGAGCATCGTCGTCGTTCATGACGCGAGCGTCGACGTTACCAGCCTTGTACGAGTGAACGCGGGCCTGGTACAGACGAAGGTTGTACTGGTAGGCGTTGTTCCAACCCTGGTAGCGTGTAAGCAAGACTGTTCAACAGGAAGATCACATGGTATCACTTACGCTCTTCTCCTGCTGGCCCATGGCCTTCCAGCGACGCTGGCCCTCTTCCTGGACAGCACCCTTGGGGGCGTCGGTGCCAAGATCGCTGGCGATGATGGGACGAGCAGTTTGCATGTACAGGAAGTAGGGAGTCAGGGGGCGCTTGGGGGCATTGGGGTCGTGGGTGCGCTTCTTGCGCTCCTTCTTCTCCTCAACGATGGGGGCGCCATACTCAGGGCCCGCCTGCATCAGGCCGTTGATGCCAACGAGGTGCTGGGCGGCATGCTCAAGGTTGGTAATGGGGATATCAATGCCCGGGATGCCTTCATTAGCGGACTCGCCCAGAAGCAGGTTGGTCTGGCGGTAGTAGTCGACAGAGAACGACTTGATGAGCTCCAAGATGGTGAGGAGACGCTGGTGGACCTGGGGGTATGAGTTAGCACTTGGGGCAATGAATAACTCGTCAGGCTCATGGTGAGTGCGCCGTGGCACGCGCTATACAGGGTAGCTCTGGTGGGAGTGTCGGGTAGTGGACTGGGTAGGTGGGTCAAAGCTCCAGCGGGAAAAAACGCGGGGAGTCACAATTGCCCGAATGGGACGTGACGCTGTAAACAAGACAGGGCTCCCCTCCCGTGCACTAGAATAACCAGACGCGTCTCGTTCTCTTCCTCTCCGGTTCTGACTTGACAAGACAGAATAAAAAACAAGAGGGAGAGCGAAGAAAATCCAAGCATGCGAGAGGTCATGAATCCCAATGACAAATAAAGTGATGTATCAGGCCAGTTGCGCATTACAGCAAAACACAACACAGCGTGTTGTGGAGGGCGGGTGTGGCCAGTGATTGATGGTTGGTAGAAGGAAGTGAAAATACTTGTGACTTACCGAGTCGCGAACGCGAATGAAGCCCTCGGGGTCAATGTGGCGAGGCTGCTGGTGAACCAGGCCGGGAGCGACAAGGGGAGCAGGCTGGACGGCAGGAATGGCGATGGGGAGAGGTGCAGGCGCAACGATGGGAGCAGAGGCGGCGGCGGACTTCTTGGCCTCCTCCATCTGCTTCTTAGTAGGACGTGCCATTGTGAGGGTGGGTGTGTCTAGTGGTGACGCGAAGGTGTGGTGTGCGGGGTGCAGTGCGAGAAGCGCTGTAAGTTGATGCTGGTTGAGATGGTGGTCTCAGGCGACGAAGAATTAATGTCGCGGCGGAGAGAGGGTAGTAAAAGCGGTAGTCTCGGGGCGCGTGAGTGCCTGGAAATTTGGTGGTGAAGGGGGAGAGAACTGGGACGGGGGGAGGGGCCTGACGGAAGGGCGGGGGGTTGGTTTTGTATTATCGGGCAGGCCGGCGGGGCTGCTGGGTGATTTGGGATCAGTAGCACTCTGGCTGGGCGCAGCGCCTAAAACGACCTGGAGGCGCGCGTGAAAATTCGGCAGGTGCAGCCCACCAGGGCCACCAAGGCCATCAGGGCCACCAGGGGGTGAGGAGGGGAAAAAATTACGTGTGCCCACTGCCACTGCCACTACTCGCGGGGGGGGGGGGGAGAGGGCGGTCCAGGCAGGAACTGGAATTCAGGTAGGTCCTGCTATCCCGCCTCCTACCTTCTGCCTTCTGCCTTCAGACTCTCTCCCACCTCCCACCACCAACTATGACACCCGTCCAACACCCGCAACTACTGGGTTTTCTCGTTCCACCTGACTTGCCCATTCCCCTGCCGTCTGCCTCGTCCCCATCCCCTCTAGGCTACCTGCCTGCGCTATCTGCCTGCACATGAGTGCCTGAGACTGGACTTGTCTTCCACCGTCCGCGGCTCCCATCAGAAATGCACCTGACCACAGACTTGGATCACTACACAGGCGAATTACAGCCCACCTAACGCCAAATGGTGGAGAGAGTCTTTTACTGATCCCATCCCATCCGGGCTGCCCCGCCGTCACGTCTCGCCCTCAACATTCACTCCTTTCCCTCCCCTCTCAGCTCCCCCCTTCTGGCCCCCCGCCCATTCCGAGCCTGTCTGCTGGCAACCCGCCCTCTTCTCAGGGTAAATGGGACCTGGGAAACTAGGAGTTCGGCCTTGATGTGCGAGTCTTCAGGGCTCACTGCATCGTCCCAGGACCAAGCCCCATCCCATGCCACTGCACCGCCGATGCACGATACCAGTAACGCTGGATAACCACCAGCTTGCAATGCCCGCCTTCCTGACTGATGGAAATCGGGGTCCCAACTCAACCTACCAACGTGACCTGCGTCTTCAACTTCCCCGCCCGCAACCCTCTTGACATCGCGTCACCATTTTCAACGTCTGCCTGCGTCCTGCCTGTACCCAATGTGTACATAACCATCATCAGTCCGCATCAGTTCTGCGACAACACTACGGCTGCTTGTCGACGTACGATGTTGACGTGCTTAATACCTGTCGAGGACATTATTGCAGACGAGGCAGATGTTTTTATATTCTGTCGAGGCCGTCATTGCGACCTATGGGCTCACGCCACAAGAGTCACCACTGGATGCATTGCTCGAACAATAGGTCACCCACCCCTAAGTGACTTGGCCTGGTACACCATCCAGTGATGTGGTACGAACTCGCAGCTGGGACCGACGAGGGGCGTCTTGGGACTCGGGGGGGAGCAGCGGTGGAGGGCACCGGCAGCTGGCACGCTCCCGCCTCAGGCATCAGCACATTCTCCCCCGCCCACTCTCCCAGCCAGGCCCCAGGATGAAAGGCCTCGATCTCTCGCTGTCCGTCAGGCCAGGCTGTTCCTGTCGCTGACGGGTACTCCAATAACAGCGTTCTTGTGACACTCGACAAATGCCACGGCAGCGTCCCATTGGGTAGCGGGCGGTCGTGCTGCAGCCCTTCTGATAAGTCTAGTCCCAGTGCTCGGAGCCCCGGGCCAGTGAAGAGTCCAGGCAGGCAGCCAGGAAAGAATCCAGGAGCGCGTTGACGACCTGGACGCTGTGGGGTACCAGTCCTCGGGGCCTTCCAGCGAGGTAAATCTCTCGTCGGCCGCAACAGAGGGCATTCCGCTGGGTCTTGGCGGCTGATGTGCTGTCACAGCGCAATGATCACCGACGATGAACAGAGAGCCCTGCTCTTTCTTGTTCACCTAGGCTCGGTATTAACCACGCGACAGGTATCCCGCATCACCAGTTGTGTACGGAATACACAGACTGGCGCACGCATTTTCCACAATGACTATGGCCATATGCCCGGACGCGCTATGCGGGGGACGGTGACATTGTCGGTTCTGCACATGTGTCCCCCAGTGTCACAAGCAGTCCCGTCGCACGCGAAGTAGAACATAAACAAGGCACACAAGCCACTCACACGTTGGCCGCTGATCGCTGCGGATTACCTACGACACCAAATTCAGCGAGTACCTAGCCCAGGAGGCCTACATATACACTGGACTGGGACATTGTCGCTTGTGCTGGCTGACCACAAGCGACTTTGAGTGCACCAGGTCCCAGGAAGGCACCTGGCGAGTCGCAGATGACAGCAACATGGACAGTGATGGGGTTAATGGGTCCTTGCTGAAGCTCCAGCATGAATGAAGCTTTCGTACTGAAACGTCTTTGGTCACCGACCGCCCACCCACCTTTTCGATCGTCCACTACTGATTGCCGCCTGCAACGTTCTTGTGTTCCGAGACACCAGCTTTTCCCGCAGCTCCTAAAGCTTCGAGTTTCCTCGTCATCCAAAGTGATGCTTAATATTGAGAATGGCGATTTTTGCACGATGCAGGAAGTGATTGTATTATGCACAAAAAAAATCATTTTCAAGGCTACCGAGGCTTTCGTGGATGCACAGCATCCTGGTCTTTGCCTGGCTTCACGTCGTTCAGATGGCCAGTTGGGCGTGGGCAGCTCGTCGATACGCGCCCGCAACGATGTGCTTGTCGCCTCTATCCAAGCGTGTCGATCGCCATTCGAAGCCCTCGCGTTCCCCCCCCCACCTACCCCTACCCCCTCCTTGGACTTGGATGAGCTTGTCGCAGACCCTGGTCCGAGAGGCGGTGCAGACCATCGAAGCTGAAGGTACGAGCGATTTGTGTGGCACTCTCGGCCAGTCGCCATGTACCGAGCTTGGCCCCCTCCTCGACCCCTGCTCGGCATCCACCACCCCTCATCCCTCCTTCGACCCTCCACCGACCCCTCCAAACCCTTCCAAACCCTCCAACGATGAGCGTGCGAGTGGTGGGGTTGCAGGCAAGCTTCCTGCTCTTCCTGGGCGCCAGGCGAAGGGTATGATGCCATAGGCCCAGAACCAAGCGTCTCGACTGCTGGCCATCAGCTCGTACGGCATGCTGCTGTTTCCCGTTCGGTTCACCACGCAATGCACCCACCATCAGCTTGCTTCTGTTTGGCATCTGATACCAGGATCCAGACCTGTTAGCCCCAAGCCCTGAAGCCAAACGCCGAAGCCCCTCCTTCCCTTCTACCTCTTCCCTTTCCTTGGTTATATTCCACCCCGCTCCTCCGTTTCTGCCTTTCCTATCTTCCTTGCCAACATCTTTCACGGGCCTTTCAGTTTCCATTTTGATACCTTGGCCCCCCATCTCCGTCACAAATACCATCATCGTTACGAATAGAATTGCAGTCGGACGAAGAATCGAGCAGGATACAAAGTCGTCATGATCACATCCTCGTCCTCCATCCTATGGGTTGGGCTGATCGTCCTGGTCTGCCTCGCCCAGCCAACCTTGGCCTTCGGCGCTGGCAACATTGCCAGCTTGTCCAAAGTCGAAGGCGTCAACTGTGCGTCTCTTCCTTCTGCTCCCATCCTGTTCTGGGGCCCTGTCGAGTGCTCAATTCGGGCTAATCAATGTTGAACAGGGCGCCACGGTGACATTGAAGATGCTCTCCTTAACATTGCCATGGCTCGCGCTCTGAAGGGCAAGAACTTCAGCAAGCTGATGGTCTCGCGCGTGTACTTTGGCAATTGGCTACGAGACTACTCGCAGGCCGTCGACGTCGGCACTGTCAAGTCCGTCTCGGCCGAGGCCATCCGTCTCGTTCTCTGCGTGCTGGGTTTCCTCACCTTCGGCTACGGCTCGAAGGAGTTCCAGGTGACGGCTGACAGGCTCGGCTGCTACCGCCCTGAGGAGCACATTGATAACCCCAAGAACTATGCCGATAACGAGGATGCCAGACGATATGACCGTCGACTTCGTGGTCCCGTTGACGAGGGCGTCGAGCTTGCCGTCGACCCCGAGACTGGCATGAAGAACTACATTGCGAATGAGAGGGCTGGCATTATGACTTCTGCCAAGCTTCTTCGCGACCTACTGGGCAACTGCATCGAGCTCGGTCGTAAATATGGCCGCAACCAGCGGGAGGAGGATCTCTTTGAGGCTCTGCGTCTTTTGGGAACTGGTCTTCACTGCCTCGAAGACTTTTTCGCCCACAGCAACTACATCGAGCTTGCCCTAATCGAGAAGGGCGAGCGCGACATCTTCCCCCACGTTGGTCGCGATACCGGTATCAGACTTCAGGGTGCTCGCGATGAAGTCTTTCCTCTCGTCACCGGCACCTTCGGTGGTGTTGACTTTCTTCACTCTGTCACGGGCGAAGGTATGAGGCTGCCTCGGCGCGATGGGTTCTATGATCACAAGCTAACAGCTTCTAGTTACGGACAAGCTGAAGCAAAACGAGCTCCAGGAGCTCGAGAACACTTTGCAGGAGAACAAGAACAATGATACCAGCATGCTCCGCAACCTCCTTGACATGATTCCTGACGGCATCTTTGGAGGAAAGCATCAGAGCGACCGGGTTGACGAGATCCAACAGAACTGCAACTCGTCTCAGATGCAGAACATGGAGGTGTCGCCCCGCGACCCCGAGGAGTTCACTCGTTACGTACAGGACATTTTCAAGCAGATCATGCCTCTGCTTGAGTTCCACGATGATATCATGCAGAGCATTTCGGAAAAGTTTGAGAAGATTCCCGTTCTTCCCAAGATTCTCGAGCAGCTGGAGGAGCAGATGACCAAGTTCGTGTACACGAATATTGCGCCGTTCATTCTGCCTGTCATTCACCAGATCCAGAACGAGATGAAGACTGGATCGCAGGAGATCGTGGAGAGCAGCGAGCGTGAGCAGCACATTGTCTTCAACGACAACCGGTCTTCCGACCCCACGCACTCCATGCTCTCCAAGGATCACTTCACCAACGTAAGCACACAGCCTCTTGCCGGTCGCAGCACAAATCCATAGTATGGTTTACTAACGTCTACAGCTTCTGAACGAGCCCGCTGGCCGCACCGCCTCTGAGATGATTCGCTGGGTTGTTCCCCAGATCATGTCTGCCATTGATGACGAGAACATCGACGTCAACCAGACCCTGACCCGCATCATTTATGGTGTTTTCCACCACCCCGCTCAGCGTGACCAGGGCAACGACGGTATCAGCGAGGGCAGGAAGGTTATCTTTGGTTCCATTGAGAACTGGTGGGAGGGCCTTGGCCGCCAGGGCCAAGACGATTACCGCCGCAAGCTAAGCCGTGATGGCGTGAAGAACAATGAGAACCACAAGCCTGGTGTTCACGACACTGGTCACGGCCACGGTTGCAACGGCAAGCTCCAGATGCACAAGCAATTCGGCGGCAAGCCCGAGACGTGGGAAGACAAGGTTGCCGACAAGGCGGCTGGCGCCATCATCACGGGTGCTACTGGTGCCATCTCTGGCATCATTGAGCAGACGACTGGCGTCAAGGTACCCTCGTACAAGCAGCCTGAGCGGAAGGAGGAGAAGCAGAGCTCTGGCGCAGGAGGCTTGCTCGGCGCTGCTTCGTCTATCTTCGGCGAGGTCTTCGGTAACGATGAGAAGGAGAAGACTACCTCTAGCCACAAGAACAACGATGGCTCGTACACCCAGACCCAGACCGAATACGGTCACTCTGGCAACAAGTATGCTCAAGCGCAAAAAACGGAGACCCAGTACCCTGACGGTGGTCGCCGTACCGAGTACAAGAAGTACGAGCAGGAAGAACAGTCTGGTGGGCGCACAAGCGGCCACGGCTACGAGGAGAAGACTGAGACGCGGCCATCGCAGGGCGGCGGTTATGAGCAGCGCACCGAGCGCCACGAGTACCAGGGTAGTTCTTCGGGTTACGGCGGTCGCCAGGAGCAAAGCAGTTACGGTGGTCGCCAAGAGGAGAGCAGCTACGGCGGACGCCAGGAAAGCTCTGGGTATGGAGGCCGCCAGGAGCAGAGCAGCTACGGCGGACGCCAGGAGAGCTCTGGCTACGGTGGTCGCCAGGAGCAGAGCAGCTATGGTGGTCGTGAGGAGAGCTCCGGCTACGGTGGCCGTCAGCAGGAGAGCAGCTACGGCGGTCGTGAGGAGAGCTCTGGCTACGGTGGCCGCCAGGAGAGCAGCTATGGCAGCCGTCAAGAGAGCAGCTATGGCGGGCGTGAGGAGCAGAGCAGCTACGGTAGCCGTCAGCAGAGTTCTGGCTATGGTGGCCGTGAAGAGCAGAGCAGCTACGGAGGTCGCCAGGAGAGCAGCTACGGCGGCCGTCAGGAGAGCTCTGGATACGGTGGTCGTGAGGAACAGAGCAGCTACGGCGATGGCGGCGGCGGTGGTTACGGAGGGCGCCAAGAAGAGAGCTACGGCGGCCGTCAGGAAGAGAGCTATGGTAGTGGACACGGGCGCAACCGCAGCGGCGAACGTAACCGCAGCCGGGAGCGCAACCGCAGCCAGGAACGCAACCGAAGCCGTAACCGCAGCCAGGAGCGCCGCTGGTAGGGGGTATGGGCCGTGGCGGCAGGCGTTGAGGCTGACGTGGTGGAATGAGTAACGCCGGATGATGATGAGATGTTCAATAATGACGAAAAGAAGTAGAAATATCATGGTTTGATCTGTTGTCACATGTTTGGAGCTTGCTCGTGATAACTAACGTACGGCAAAGTCGAGCTTGGACCTGAATGTTCGGCCCTAGCGGCCGGTAGCACGCCGCGACCCCGGAGGTATGTCGGGCGGACATCAACACGGCCACGATCTAGCGAGGCATCGTCGCGTTCGAAGAGGAAGGTAGAGACCGGTCGCCCATGGTACAGGTGAAGCTTAGAACATCACATCGTCAGCCCTGGACCCACGCTATCATACTATTCCCCGCGCATGCCTCGGCCACCCAGAGTCTCGCAGCGCACTTCGCCCGCCCGTCTGGGCTCACTCAATTTCGAACCGCCAGCCTGCCGATCAATATCCCGATGCAGCCACAATGGCGGCTCCCTCTCCCCTCGCGCGTCACGGCAACCGCCGGATAGATTGCGGGGGACGAGCAGGGGCGTTTACTAGGAACCATGGCCACGTACCTGACCATGAATCGATGGCTCGGAGCCTGCTCCGTGTTTGCTTCCCTCTTGGGCTGGTCATGTCTCGGCCGAAGTGGAGGTTCGTGAGAGTTGTTTCCTATGCAGTGCTCGTCACCAGCTCTCTACCTGAGAGCCAGCCACGCTGGTGTCGCTCGGGATGGCGGCTTGGGCGGTAGATGTGCTGGCGTGGGTTCATCGCTGCTGTGAATTTGGCCGAGAGCAAGTTAATTTAGAGGAAACCAAGATTTTCGTCTTGTCGAACCAGACTTCATCAGTGCACCAGTACATCGTCAAGGTGGTATAAAAGGGACATCCTGCGACGATGGCAACTACTTTCGACACCCAGAGACCTCAACATAGTCTTTCAGTTCAGCATACCTCCTCGTATACCGCTTTACTTCGGATATCAACCCATCATCACGACAAGCCTTGACCACCTCGCCACAATGCACGCCAGCCTCCTGACCCATCTCCTCCCCCTCGCCCTCCACCTGACGCCTACAGCAGCCCAGGCCTCCGGCAGCGGCAGCACAACCCGCTACTGGGACTGCTGCAAGCCCTCGTGCGCCTGGCCCGGCAAGGCGGCCCTCTCGAGCGGGCCGGTCACGACCTGCGACATCAACGACCGGCCGCTCGGCGACGCCAACGCGCGCTCGGGCTGCGAGGCCGGCGGCACGTCCTACATGTGCAGCGGGCAGTCGCCGTGGGCCGTGTCGGCGGACCTCGCGTACGGGTGGGCGGCCGTGCGCGTGGCGGGCGGCGACGAGGCGTCGTGGTGCTGCGCGTGCTACGAGCTCACGTTCACGAGCGGGCCGGTGGCCGGGAAGAAGATGGTCGTGCAGGCGACGAACACGGGGGCCGACCTCGGCTCGAACCACTTTGACCTTGCGGTGAGTTTCTTCCTTGGGGGGCGTTTTGTACTCTGCGGCCGAGTGTTCGGAGCGGAGCCCCCCTTCCCGGAGGGTGGGGACCCAAAATCGGAGGACCTTGGCTGCGTTCCGGAGCGACGTCAGCATTTAGCATGCCGGGCAACAAACACTGACCATGTCCCTTCTCCACCCCCTCACTCAAAACCCCGTGGATCGCAGCAGAAAATTGGAAATGCAAGTCACAGTGCTGACCAGAGACAATAGATCCCCGGCGGCGGAGTCGGCATCTACAACGCCTGTACGGCCCAGTACAACGCGCCGCCCAACGGCTGGGGCGACCAGTACGGCGGCATCCGCAGCCGCGCCGAGTGCGACGCCTTCCCGGAGGCGCTCAAGAGCGGCTGCTACTGGCGCTTCGACTGGTTCCTGAACGCCGACAACCCCCAGGTGAACTTCCGCCAGGTCTCATGCCCTGCGGCCCTCACGTCTCGCAGCGGGTGTGTGAGGCAGAACAATGCCATGTTCAAATGAGCGTGGGACATGGGATGGGGCTTTGACAGTGGTGAAGGCGTTGCCAGGAATATTTGGGCTGATCCACACACCATCAATTCTCAGTACATCTAGACCAGACGGAACGGTCCTCTGTCTTGTTGTACCTGGTTGCTGGAGCCAGATGTCTTGGCAACTAGTCACCCTCGAGGGAATCGAACAGGATGACCGGCTTGCGAGGGTGGTCAGATATGTCAACAGGCCTCCTGTCCTCAAGCAACTGACCTGGTTCTATTCAAGGATAAAAGCTACATAGCCTTGAATTATGACCAGTACCATGAAAGCCGCGCATAAGGCTGCGTAAGGTCCATTTGGGCCACATTGACACATCATCATCATCACGAGCCTCATGAAGCAGTGGTTATGGACTTGGTTCTTCATTGATATTTTGGCTTCTGAAGAGCTGCTTAAACATTGTCATAGGAAGAATGTAGACAGAGGCTCCCCGAGGAATGCTACTGATGATGTAAAGATTCGTAAACGCTGCAACTCTTGGCTCGCAGCATCAGATGGCGTGCCAAAGGGGTATCACGATCCGGGAGAGTCAATTTGACGTCGAAATAAGCAAAAGAAACATGGCCACGAGCCACACCACGTGCACCATTTAGAGGGGAATTCATGGTAGCGGTAGCTGAACGTCTCTAACGAAGACGGGCAAGCTGCAGTCCGGAGGCGCAACGCCATTCACCAATTGGTACGACCTCTGCCAAGTCGTGTTTTATCCCCGCGCTACAATAGACCGTATCACAAGCCCAATGAGATCCGCTTCACGAGACGGCCAAGACCAGCGGACCGCAATGGAGCCATTACCGCTTCAACGGAAGCTCTGCTAGCCAGGCATCGATCTGGCTGAGGGAATGGGCTGGGCCTGCCTCAGCCTTCCTTGGCCCTCGAGTCTGGAGCGTCTCGGTGTCAGCGTCGTTGTCGAGCTTGAAGGCGGACCCGCTCCTCAGGACCCAGAGAGCGCAAACAGCTGGACTATTGGCTAGCTCGTAGGTCGTCGACCGCCCGGAATGGCATGACGTAGAGAGGTCAAGCTATCTTTGGATTGGGCGCAAGGAAGCCAAGCAAAAGAGGGGCTCCCAACTTGGTGAACAATAGTGCATAACAGCCGACAAGTGCGCCGCGGTCGTTATCCAGTGTCGTCCAGCGATGTGAGAAATTCTAGGCCGTGTCTTGTGCCTCCTTCCCACCTGCCCTTCTGGCTGCCCTCCTGGCTGCCCTCCCCCGACGGTAGCAAATTGTGCCCGAGAAGTGTGACTTGGCGCTAGGACTGCAGTGCAGGTTCGTGCTTACCAGAAGGATCAAGCGCTATGGGTCGACGTTGCTTGCTTTTGTGCCGTTATCCGACAGGGCCGCACTACGGATATAACGGCTCTGTCGGAAACTAACCGTGCAGCAGCGACTGGGCCGCGTTGACAGGCCCAGCAGCAGATCGTGTTGTCCCTTGTCACACGCCAGGCGTCAGGGCTGTGGTACTGACTGATATGGCTGCGAATGGCGGCGGCAGATAACAAGGCGGCGCTCAGGTCCGGGCTGTATGGCGGTGGAGCCACAGACAAGCTTCTGCGCCCTCGACTTGGCAGCAAATGCCAGCAACATGGCCATTCGACTTTGTGCAAGCGAATCATCGGTGACTGTTGTGTCGCCGAGGGTCCGCGAAGCTGCATCATTCTGACGAGGGATGTGCAGGCTGGCTGTCGGCAGGCAAGCCAGGGGTGTGTGATGGACGGCTGCAAACGCTGTATTGTGTGTTGTACTGTATTCATCATGGGCGTGTGAACCGAGTCAGACGTAGATTCTGAACCACGGTGATGTCTCTCCTGCCGCTAGACAATGAGGGAACAAGTTGCAAGGGTAGCATGCTTCGTGCAGGCTTTCGTTCCCTATTCAAGTCGACTAAGGCAGCATGGAAGTTTGGAGATAGTGGAGGGAAAGCTTCGTAGAGAGGAGACTAGACGAGCAGAGCAGAGCAGAGCGCCGCGAACCTTGCGGCACCTCAGATACCTGCTCAGGCAGGGAGGTACTGGTAGGTAGATTGCTCCGATGTATCTCCCAAGTCTCGAGACACGCGTCGCATGGCGCACTTGAGACATGGGGGGAACATGGCCTGGCTTCGATCCCATTCGCGCTCGAGGGGCCACTAGTGGGTGAGGGGTGCGGTTGCAGGTGGCAGCACCAAGTGAGGCCCCCCTTCCGCCTAGCCTGGCCTAAGATGCCCTTCCCAGTACCAGGCCCCTCGTCTCGTCCTAGGCGGGCAATTGGGGTGGGTACCTCCTTCCCAAGCGACTCGTTCGAGCCTGCCTGGGTGGGCTATGTCGATTCAGAGTGGCCAACTGCGGACAAGCTGGTGCGGGTAAGTACCATGTACTGTACCCAAGCAGCCAGGGTACTACCTACCTACCTACCTAGGTACCTTACCTAGATGAGGCAGTAGGCAGGCAGACAGGCGCGACTAGGTGCAGGAACATGACAGGAAAGAGAAGGGAAAGGAAACCGTCGCCGGCTGCTGCTTGCTTGCATGACAAGGGGGGCTTCAGGCAAGGCAATGCAACCTCCCGGTCCCCAATCAATCTGATTTTCCCTAACAAAACTTGCTGTTCTGATCTTGCATCTTGCGAACGCATTGCCATTTTGCGCTCGTCCCCCCGCTCCCCTTCGCTACCTGTCCGGCTTTGCTCCTCATCCGTCGGTCGCATTTCGAATCGGCTCATGTTTGGTCCTGGTCTCGGTCCCGGTGCAGTGGCCTCCCCGACGTGTCGCCAAACCCCGTTCTCGACCACGCGCCCCATCTCTTACGTCTCTTCCTTCTTCTCGAGTCGCCTACCTCCTCCCTAGGACGCCGTCAGATCGATTCATTCGAGCCCGCCGCCCCTCCCCTCCCCCCCGCTCTCCAATACAGCGTGCGCCCACCCCTCTAGAACCCCCCCGTTCAGGCGCCTACCCGTGCCGTCCCACCCAGCCAGCCAACTACCTCCCTCTCGGATCTCTTCCTCGCTGCTCAACTGAACCATTTCCCGTGCCGTCCTCGCCGGGCCTGTCCATCCAACGCCCTGACTTCATCGCTCCCCAGCGCCTCACCACATCTCATTTCCGTCATCCACGAGCAGCCAGCAGCAGCGACAGCAAACTCCAACAGATAACCCCCCGTCCTGTCCGAGTGGGATCCGAACCCACTTCGACTCCGATATCGAACAGCGCTTCCACTCCCCCCTTCGACTTGCCTTAACACTTGCCTGGCGCGCATTCCTGCTGCCTCTTCTTCCCTTCTCCAACCGTTGCCCATTCGCACACCAACCCACTCCGCCGCCATCGTCAACACTCCTTCAGCGGTTGGGTTCCATGTATCCAGTCCAATGCTCGGCGACGTGAGCGCAGCATGTGTAAGAACAAACTCTCTTCCTCAGCTTGCCATTCCATCCAGTCAAACGAGGCGTCATCGGCGATACTCCTCAATTGACGACGCCTCCGTCCCCTTCACCATCATCGCCTCCACACAGCTTTCTCCTACCGACCGCTTTATACCTCGATTTCCCCTTGGCTTAGCTTCCGACACTGACGTCTCACAGCGCTCGATCAGATTTACAATCGAGTGTAAGTCCTCCCAGCCTTCCTTCGTGTGGTCGACCATTCGCGCCCTGTGGCCCTTCCCGTCAACAGACGACAGACAACGACGCGGGCCTCCATCCCAACCAACCAGTGCGCTGGCCTCCTGCGACGCTTCAACAACTGACTTGACTATTGCAGGCTACTCTTCAGCAACCCTGTATGGAGCGGCGCCAACACCGTGCCGAGCACAATCATCCGGAACATCACAACCTTCAATGTACGATCGCCTTTCTGCTTTCCGCCTTTGTCAACCAGAATGTCTAACGCCGAATGTCGCAGGATACCCTTGGATATGTCGATACGTTGAGAACAAACCTAACTACTCTGACCCGAACGAACTTGCAGACCCGAAACGGCATCATCCGCGGCCTCCTCTACGTCCCGGAGATTTCGGAAGCGAATCCATGCTACGAACAGCAATACGATCTGATCCCGCGAAATGTCACCACGCGAGAACAGCTGCCCCCGCCCATGTACAACCTCATTGCACTTGCGCCCTGGTTTAACTCTACATGCACCAAGGCATACCTAGCCGCTGCTCGCCTCGATCCCATTCGGGCGTTCATATTCTACCGCCCCAACAATTCCACAAGAGAACCTCAAGGCGTCAATTCTCCGATATGGGATCTCGAAGATGGCGGCACCTGGCATTCCCAGAATCACTTTCCTGTCTTTGCAGTCCCGGGCTCGGAAGGCTCGAAGATGATGAAACAGCTCAGTCTGTACTCTGGAGACCCGTCCACGATACCGTTTGCCGAAGAAGTCCAAGCCGAACACGACCCGAATCCTCGAGATTATATACGAGTATGGACCGAATTGACGATAACCGACCAACAGAATCTGCCAGCCATGTGGACCTGGATCTTGATCGTCGTAGGCGCCCTGCTCTTCATCATCGCATGCGTCTCCGTCACCATGCATCTCGTGCAACGACAAAGGCGGGCTTCGTTGCGGCGCCGCGTCATCAGCAGAGAGGTTGACCTAGAAGCAATGGGAATCAAGCGAATGGCGGTGCCACCTGCTCACATCCGAGAGTTCCCCCTCTTTACGTACAGTTATCAGCCAGAAGTCGCCAGCGCGCCCTCGACACCACTGGCAACCCGGTCTCTGCGATCACCACGAAGCGTACGAACCGACCAACGAGCCATTTCCGATGTCATGTCGAGCTCGCGCACTCGGCGATCTAGCCTAACAAGCTCTGCGAACACCATCGCCACCAACTACCAACCACAATGCCACATCTGCCTGGAGCAGTACGAGGACCGTGTGTCCGTTATTCGCGAGCTACCCTGTGGACACATATTCCATCCCGAGTGCATCGACGAATTTCTAGCCATCAACAGCTCATTATGTCCCATCTGCAAGAAGAATATGCTACCACGCGGATACTGCCCGAAGATTTCGAACGCCATGGTGCGGCGCGAGCGTGCCATTCGACGGCTGCGCTCGCGTGTGATTCTGGATGACTCGGACGATGAGGGCGGCGAGGAAAAGCACGGAAGGTGGGGGAAATGGCTGCGGCGCAGAGATCAACATCAGCCATTACCAGGAGGGACTGGGGTTCCTTTGACACCGGTCAGCCCGAGCAAATCGGACGTGGTACTCAGGCCATCCTCATCACCGGCGGACGCGGCACAACAACCGCCATCCACGCAGCGGACACTGGAGACGACGCAGGAAGAACCTGCAGAAGATTCGGTCGACCCGCAAGGCGATGGCCTAGCCCATCGCTCGACATTACAGACCCCACAGCCGGCCGCTGCAGCGCACCACTCGTCACGGAAAGCGAAGCGCAGGAAGAAGCCACGGGATTTACAGCTGCAGGCGCCTCAACCTGGGGAGCAGCCACTCGAGCCCCGGCAGGTCGAGGGTCGAAAGAGTCCGTCGGCTTTGGCGCGTCAGCGCATGCGCACACTAGCTGGCACGCCTCTGGATGACCCCGACGGGCGGCGTCCTGTGTGTAAGTTGATTCTGTGGCTGCTACGAACGCAACTTGTGCTGACTCGAAGTAGGGCGAAAGGCGTTTACAAAGGTGTTCCCGGGATTTACATAGACGAGGCCTGACTGATTTGGCGCATGTTCTTTTTAATGCGAGCGCTGGCATGGAAACGGCGTTTGGAGGGTTGCTATATTTGGCTCATTGTGCATAGCAGCAACAGGACGGGACAGTACAGCAAACCAGTCCCTTTCCGCCCTGCGATATGATGCACGGGCTGCCTAGAAGGGCGGAAGGACCGAGACTGTAGCACCTGGGTGCGGCACACGGCCACACTCTCGTCTTCGGTCGGATGCTGTCTGCTCGGCACATGGGCATCCAGGGCTGGTTTTCACGGAGTATCGTTGGATGGAATATATACCCTGGCACCGGGCGAGGAAAGGCATCAAACATTGCGGGTTGGGAGGTTGTATTTTGCAACTGAAAAATAGGTGTCAGATGGATCGTGCCTGTGAGTAAGCTGTAGCAGCATATGAATCACTGTTTAATGACTGGCCGCATGTGTCTGAGGTTGCCATTTTCATGATGGCCTACTTGATTGCCTAGAGCAGTGCTGAATCATGTCGTGTTAAGTAGTAGTGGGAAGAAGTGACCGTGTCCTGACGTGTTGCTTCATCCCATCACACACGTCAACGTGAAGAACATGTCGTTTCACAAAAGACTTCACGACATCGTTTCATGTTCGTTTTGATTTCTTTGCCTGTTGTATATACAAAGCTCGCCTGGGTATACTGAGATGTATATATGTGAATTAAAAGAGAGGAAGATGCAAAAAATCAACAGTCGTCTGATGCCGGTGGAGGAAAGGCATCCGTCATGATTCGTTATGAAAGGCGCACGTCACAGTCACGCATCGATCGCCCTCGCCTCGTCCTTGACACCGCCCCTCGCTAGCGCCTCCCTGACCTTGTCATCCTCGGCATCCCGGATGCGCCGCCTTGCCTCCTCGAGACGGTCGACGCCGCGGTCAATGGTCTCAATGTGCACGCTCAGGGGTATGGCGCCGCGGTCGCCCAGACCGGGGCCGGGCCCAATGGCGGAGCGGGCGAGCCCGGGCTCGGCGACGCGGTCGCGCAGGTCGCCGAGGCCGGCTTCAATCTTCTCGAGCTCGACGACGAGGGCCGAGACCTGGGAGACCGCCTGGGAGCGCTGCGTGTCGACGGCGCGCAGGAGGCGCAGCTGGCCGTTGAGGTCGCTGATGCGGCGGTTGTTGGCGCCGACGAGGGACCACAGGGTCCAGAGGACATCGTCGCGGGAGTCGCGGACGGAGCGGTGGGAGCGTGTGACAACGTCGTATATGAGCGAGAGGTGGTCCTCGGCTCTTGTGAGGAGGCGGAGCACGGCCTGGGCCTCGACGAGGAGGCCGGCGATGCGGTCGGACACGAGGGCCGTGTGCTCAATATACTTGTCGAGGAGAGCGCGCTCGTCAAAGGGCACCGTGGCGGGCTGGAAGGGAGCGAAGAGCCAGGAGGTCCAGACGGCGAGACCGGTGCCGGCGCTGTCGGCGTCGGCGGCAGCCGTGGATGCGTCCAGGGCGTCGAGGTAGCGCGACGTCCAGTGGTTGATGGAGATGACTGAGTCGACGGCCGAGCCAACGTGTGTGTTGAACTTTTGCAGATCCGAGGCCGTCTGGCGCGCCGTGGCAATGTACTCGTCAAAGTGGAAGACGAGTTCGTCGCGCGCCGGCAGCTCCGAGTAGCGGACCATGGTGCGCAGATCGCGGATCGACGACTCGGAGCGCTTCATCTCCATGGGCAGCGAGACGCCGTCGGCGCTGCGCTCGAGCACCTGCTCGAAGCTCGCCTGGACGTTCATGAGGTCGTCAAACTCGACGCTCTGGCCGCCCGGCGCCGACAGCTGCTCGTCGGAGCCGGCGGGCGTGACGCCAAACTGCGGGCAGAAAGGCAGGCTGAGGGCGCCGACGCCGGGGATCTTGCAGATGGGCGAGAGCGACGTCGTGATGGACTGGGTGACCATGTTGCGCAGGATGATGGTGGCGCCGATCATGAGCCAGACGGCGAACATCATGGCCAGGGGAAGCTTGAGCATGCGCAGCGCCATGCCGACAATGTCCGCTACCCAGGCGAGCACGTCGAGGAGGGCGTGCGGCGCCGAGTCCATGACGCGACGACCGACCGTCTGCTGTTGGCGGTCTGTTGGCTGGCGCTGGGCCTCTCTTCCACCGAACCTCGCATCGTTGCTGCTGCTGCTATTGTTGTTGCGTTTCCGCAGGAGGCTACCGTAGCCCGACTGCTGCCTCTGGTTCCTCAGGCGCATGGCGATCCTCTCCTTCTCGTCCATGGTGGGCCGGATTGTCCTCGAAGAGCGGCCGCTGCTGCTGCGGCCTTGGCTCGGACTCTCCATGTGGATGGAAGGCATGTAAAACTCGGGCTCAGGCGTGCGATGAACATCGTCGGATGTCTGGCGCGTCGTAGGGATCGAAGGGCGAAAGGGCGTGCGCAGGATGACGCGCTCGTCGTCGGCCCTGTCGACAAAGTCGCTGATGCTGTGGGCGCTGTCCTGGGAGGCGAGGCTGAAGTTGCCCTGGGAGGGTCCGCTCGACAGGGGAATGTCGTCTTCGAAGTCAAGCTCGGGGACGATGGACGTGTCGAAACTGTCGTTCTCGCCGCCTTCGACCATGCGCCAGGAGCTTTCGACAGGTAGCTCGTGCTCCCGAGATGGTTCTCGCCTCAAGGGCATGGCTGGGTCGGCGGCCTGGAGCCTGTAAGAAGCCTCTGTAGAAAGAGGCACCGAGGAAGAGAAATTCGGTGCGACACGAGTTGAGCGATGTGCAACAGGAGTTGAGAGAGGAGTGTGTATATGTCTTGGTGTGGTGGCGAATCGATGGAAGTGCAACTACGATATGAAGTGTTGTGTGCCTGTCTGGGTAGGAAGCAATAGGTCAAGGTAGAGCTTGGCTGTGACTCATGTGGTTGCCGTCAAGATGTATTGGATGTTGGTGGGCCAGGCAGAAGCAGGAACAGGAGCGACAAGAGGTGTGAATCGAGTCAAGCGTCGACCAAGGCTCGAGAGCGAGGATGGAGATGGAGATGGTGGATGTTGTTGAGCTGCAACGGCTCTGGCGTCATAGGTACCTTCCTCGGGGGGTTCTTAAAGGGGGGTCTTAAGCGGTCTGGAACCGTGGGGAGATAGGCTCCCGCCCCTGGCAGGGTCCAGTGGTGACAGGCACGCAGGGCAGGTGACCTGGTGCCGTTCCTGCCTTGCTCAGGTAGGTACTGACCTCTGTACTCACGTAGCTCCTTCCTCGCACCTAAGGGCACCCCCTCTGTCGATCACAGGGCACACCCACCCTCTCTCTGTTCTCCCCCCCGCCAAATCCTCCCCTAATGCTTCCCTAAAATGCTCCCCCATTGCCCTCCCCCAAATGCTCCCCCCGGCATAATATCCTACCGGATCCGGCCCCTGCCCCCTGCCTGCACCTGCACCTGCACCAGCACCAGCACCAGCACCTCCACCAACGTCGACCAAACGAACAGACGAACGACGACCAGAAGCCTGAAAATAAGTCCCACCTTTTTCTTCGCCTCGTCAATCAACCGACGGTGCTTGAACAATCCGACCTGCGATCATTGCATTCGCACACGCACATACACACTCGCTTGACAGCTCGTCTTCAATTACCCTTGCGACTTGGTCCATCTTGACCCGACGTCCCGACTGCCTGACCGACCACCCGACTGCCCAACTCCTTCGCCTTTGGATCGCTGCCCACAATGATGGACCAACGCGAGCTCGATTCCAGCATCAAGCAGCTGCAGAAAACCGTCGCTGCCAACGAGCCGCCCTCGAATGCGCTGTCCATTCTCGAGCGCCTCAAGAAAGAGGCCTCACCCACCGAAGAGATGCTGCGCGTGAGTACACGCTGCGGCGAGCGACCTGCCTCTTTGACACCTGCCTACTGACACATGCCCTCCCCCCAGTCCACCCGCGCAGGCGTCTTCGTCGGCAAGCTGCGCCATAACTCGAACAAGGACATTGCGCGCATCGCCACCGAGCTCGTCACCAAATGGAAGAAGCTCGTCGAGGCCGAGAAGGCCTCGCGCATGCAAAAGCTGAAGCAGTCCTCGCCCGCCACCGCCGCCTCCCCGACACCCCCCGCCGCCTCCAAACCCTCCGGCTCCTCCGCCTCGCCCGCGCCCGCCTCGGCCGCCGACGCCCCCTTCAAGGGCGACACGGAGACGCGCCACTTCAACAAGGACGGCGTCAGCATCAAGCGCACCGGCGACACGACCCGCGACAACTGCCTCGGCCTCCTCTACAACGGCCTCGCCTACCGCAGCACCCAGCCCCCCGACGCCGTCGTCGCCCGCGCCGTCGAGTGCGAGGCCGCCGCCTACCGTCACTACAAGGGCGTCACCGACGACTACAAGAAGAAGATAAAGTCCCTCTTCTCCAACCTCAAGGTCAAGACGAACCGCGAGCTCGGCCGCAACATCATGGACGGCAAGATCACCGCCGACCGCTTCGTCACCATGACCCAGGACGAGCTCAAGAGCGCCGAGCAGCGCAAGCGCGAGAACGAGCTGCAGGAGGAGAACATGAAGAAGGCACAGGTGCCCATGGCCGAGAAGAGCATCAGCGACGCCCTCAAGTGCGGCAAGTGCGGCCAGAAAAAAGTCAGCTACACCCAGGCCCAGACGCGCAGTGCCGACGAGCCCATGACGACGTTTTGCGAGTGTACTGTGTGTGGCAACCGGTGGAAGGTATATTCTCCTCTTTTCCCTTCCTACAATCTTCATCCCTGTTTGGCTGACCACGGCATAGTTTTCTTGAGCGAGCAAGAGAGGGAAAGACCGAGAGACAGGGGCAGAGAGTGTGTGGCTATCGGGGAGGCGCATCCCCTTGCGTTCCAGCTGTGGGCGGACGGTTGTTTATCAGGACTCGAAGGTGTGCGAGTCTCGACATTGGTATGGAGTTTTACGGAACACACGCAGGCGGCGTTGGCAAGTTTTTCTTGTTCTTTTCTTCATTCTTCACTGTACTTTCGGTAGTACCCCTCATGTTGCTCGCCTGTCGTCTCCAAGGACGCTTTCAGGTGGTATGATGCACACTAGATGAGCAGAGCGCTTGACATTCGGTCACTTGCCCTTTTCCCCACCTCTACTGAAGACACACTGTGACGTATGCATCGCGGTGGAAATGAACAAGAACAACAGGACCAGACGAACGGGTCCGGATGCAACACCCGCCCTCAGATCAGCGTCATATACAGTACGTGGGGGATTGATCATGTTGATGCTATCGACTGCACAGTGAGCCCCAGCGTCGAAAAGAGATCCGTCTTGTCATCTTGGTCCTCCAGCCCCATCTCGGCAATGTGCTTCCAAAACTTGCTGAGGTGCCGCGTGCCCGAGTCGCACAGAATGGTGACGACGCGGCTGCCCTCGGGCAGCTTCATGGCCTCGACGACGGCGGCGGCGCAGTTGACGGCGCTGCTGCTGCCGACGAAGATGCCGTCCTTCTCGACGAGCCAGCGGGCCATGCGGCAGGCCTGGTCGTCGGTGACGCGGATGGCGTCGTCGACGAGGTCGCGGCCGGCCTCAAAGTTGGCCGTGATGCGCGTGATGCCGATGCCCTCGACCATGGTGTCGACCTGGGAGCGGCGACGCGTGCCCTCGCGCTCGGTGCTCGAGTACATGACGCCGTGGCGGATCTTGTTGTAGAGGCCGCTGCCCTGGGGGTCGGCGAGGACGACGCGCAGGGCGTCGGCGCGGGCCTCGTCCTTGAGGTAGCGCGCGACGCCCGTAATGGTGCCGCCGGTGCCGGCGCCGGCGACAAAGGCGTCGAGGCGGCCGTCGGTCTGGGCCCAGATCTCGGGGCCTGTGGCCTCAAAGTGGGCGCGCCAGTTGGCCGGGTTCTCGAACTGGTCGGCGAAGAAGCCGGTGCTGCCGTCGGCGGCCGTGTCGGCGTGCGCGGCGGCGAGGCGGCGCGCGCGGTTGACAAAGTGGGCGGGGCTCGTGATGGGGGCGACGGCGACGCGCTCGACGGTGGCGCCGAGGCGGTGCAGCAGGTCGCTCTTCTCGACGGCCATGTCGTCGGGCATGCAGATGTGGCAGCGGTAGCCGCGGGCGCGAGCAAGGGTTGCCAGGGCGATGCCCGTGCTGCCGACGGTGCCCTCGTAGATGGTGTCGCCGCGGCCGGGCACCAGCAGGCCGGCTTCCTCGGCGGTGCGGATCATGGACAGGGCGACGCGGTCCTTGGGTGACTGGCCGGCGCCGTTGAGGAACTCGGCCTTGGCGAGGATGACGCGACCCGTGGCCTCGCTCAGCGACTTGATGTTGATGAGCGGCGTGTTGCCGATGGCGCCCTCGATGCCGTCAGCGATGGGCGGCGCTTGCGAGGTGGCGGCCAAGTCGTCGGACACGGCGACATCAGACCCTTCGTGGTCCTCGAGCTGGACGGGCGGGCCCCAAAAGACGGAGCCGCGGCGCGAGGCCTCATCCTTGGAGGTCGACGAGCTGGTGTTGCGACGGCGGACGGCGCGGCGGTGGCGCTGATAGCGACGCTCGAGGTCGGGATAAAAATCCTTGAAGCCGAGTGTCACGAGGATGCCTGCCGAAAAGGCGACGACAATGGCGGCCGAGCCATAGGCTTTGGGGTGGTTGCTTAGCGACATGGCTCTTCAGCTGCTGAGATCCATACCTCGTCAATTCCCCCCTCTCGTCAGTGACACGTCTCGATGAGGGCTCGAGGTGATGGTGGTGTCATGGGTGATGAATGATACGGAGATGGAGTGAAGGAGGTCGTCAGACAGATGCGGCGAGCTGAGGCTTTCTTTCCATGGACTCTCCAGGCCAGAGACAGAAGGCGCTAGGGGGTGATGTCATCCAGGGACCCGATCCACGTTCCTGCAGCGTCCAGCGTTCAGCGCCCCGTTCAGCGTTCTGGCTGCTGTGCTGGCTGCTGTGCTAGCTGCTGTGCTGGCCCTAACGGTGGACGGTACCCCTGCCGGATTAACGTCTGGCCCGTCATGGGGAGCTCGGGCCACGGTCAAAGCCAATGCATCGGAATTGGACATTGGATGTCGATACCGCATACAGGACATCAATCACCATACCCCAAGTCTGGCAGAGTCCCCGAGTCAACGGCCACGCCAGGCTGACCCAGCACGCCCGTCATGGACTCGCCAATCGTCACCCGCCTCTTCAGGGAGCTCTTCCGCCATCCCGCCTGCCAGTCCAGACAGCGATTGTCGGCCCGGCTTCGACCTGCAGCGAACCACATCTGCCGCCAACCGCACCATCACCAACGACGACAGTATGCCGTCAAGTCCGGCCTCGGCAAGGGTGAGAAGACAAACGAGAGCAGGTGGCAGCAGAGGACCCAGCTGTTCCCGGCCGACAGGTCTGAGGAGTTTGAGACCTACCCTCTCGTCACGGCTGAGGATCTGAAGGGGCGCGACGTGAGGCCAAGAAAGGTCAAGATGCTCATGCGAGACTTTGTCGACGGTATGTCCTGTCAAGGGTGTCCTCTGACCGAGTGTGCACAGCATCCCCAACTGACGACACCTCCCTCCAGACAGCTTGTACAATCCCAATTACGGCTACTTCTCCAAAAACGCCGTCATCTTCTCCCCCGGCCAGCCCTTTGACTTCCCCGCCTTCAGCCACGAACCGGCCTTCTACAAGGAGCTGGGTCACCGCTACACCGAGTTTGAGGATGCCCTCGACGACAAGGAGGGCGTCAAGGACGACCGCCCGCTGTGGCACACGCCAACGGAGCTCTTCCGACCCTACTACGGCGAGGCCATCGCCCGCTACCTCGTCTCCAACTACCGCCTCACCACCTACCCCTACCACGACCTCATCATCTACGAGATGGGCGCCGGCCGCGGCACCCTGATGCTCAACATTCTCGACTACATCCGCGACATGGACCCCCAGGTCTACGCCCGCACCAAGTACAAGATTATCGAAATCTCCTCCTCCCTCGCCGCGCTCCAGGGCCAGAACCTGCTGCGCGCCTCGGGCCACGCCGACAAGGTCGACATCATCAACAAGTCCATCTTCGACTGGGACGAGCGCGTGCCCTCGCCCTGCTTCTTCCTGGCCCTCGAGGTCTTTGACAACTTTGCCCACGACTGCCTGCGCTACGACCTACGCACTGAGGAGCCCCTCCAGGCCCGCGTCCTCATCGACGACGACGGCGACTTTTACGAGTTTTACGACACCCGCCTCGACCCCGTCGCCGCCCGCTTCCTGCGCGTCCGCCACGCCGCCACCGCCGGCCGCTACCCGGCCCCCTACCCGGCGAGCCGCCTCGCGCGCGACCTCCGCAGCCGCCTGCCCCTGGCCCCCAACCTCTCGGCCCCCGAGTACATACCCACGCGGCTCATGCAGTACCTCGACGTCCTCGAGAAGTACTTCCCCGCCCACCGCCTGCTGACGAGCGACTTCCACGCCCTGCCCGACGCCATCGAGGGCCTCAACGCGCCCGTCGTCCAGACGCGCTTCGAGCGCCGCACCGTGCCCGTGACGACCCCTCTCGTGCGTATCCTCTCCC